TGTGCTGGCCTTGTTTGGGAATGGGAAGAGTGGGAGGCCACACATTTATGTTACATCCAGGACCTTGGGACGTAACAAAAGTGTTTTTGAGTCCTGATTCTTGTGTATAAACAATTACAGACACGTTTGAACAAACGCCACATGTGTTAGTGCTTTAGGAAGTTACAATATGAGGCTATACTGTTGGCATGATGTTCGCTCTGAACTGCTGGAGGACACAAGCTTGTTTAAATGGCAGGGATGGAATAATTTGAGCCAAAAGACCCGGGGGAAGTCGAACCAGCTATTTCATTCTTACATTTTATCACAGAAATGATGTGGCATGAATTTTAGACCAGAAACCATCACGCCATGCTTCTGTAAATGGGATAAAGACAAGACAGACAGGCTTCAACTCCTCTTGTGGATTTGGACAGAGCGGTGGGAGAGGTGGAGAAAGGGAAGTCCGTACGTCAGGTGGCACAGGACATGACGATCACCAAGCAATACATTGATATGAAACAACCAGGAGACATAAAAAATCTAGCTGCAGTGTTTCACAATCTAAGTGCTATGAAATGTTGGCATTTGAGTTGGCAAAATGATGTCCCCGACCCAGCATTGCGGGCAAGTTGATCAACGGTTCCAACTCGCATCCGGTTCTCGTTACTCAGCCTCTAGTCTGCATCACAGTTAGTTTCATGGTTTGGTGGTTTTAAGACTCTGTTTTTGTTTGACACATCTGAAGTTCATGTTTTCACAAGTTCATCAGTGTGAAAAGCTGTTTGTGTGACTCATGTGATGAACATCATCTCCGCTGTCACAGCAGATCATGGGATGTTAAAATGAGTTTATGTGAACAAACTTTACGTCCAAACAAATCTTCAGCATCTCCTTCCTGTTGAGCTGCTTGAATCTTTTTAAACTAGTTTTGCTTTCTAACTAATTCAGGATTTTCTTTTCTTTTCTGTTTGTTTTTAGATCAGCGAGAGATAAAAGTGAATCCTGGACAGGACGTCTCTCTTCTGTGTCAGGGTCTCAGAGATGCATCCGTCACACTGTTAGAGTGGACCAGACCTGACCTGAAGTCAGACGGTTACGTGTTCTTTTACCGAAACGAGCGGCCGTATGAAAACTACCAGCATGAATCTTTTCATGGTCGAGTGGAGCTGAGAGATCCAGAGATGAAGGACGGAGACGCTTCTGTTGTCCTGAAGAACGTCACCTTCAACGACACTGGAACATACGAGTGTCGGATTGTAACCAACACCCGACAAGAGATCAAGCACCTGATCGACCTGAATGTTACAGACTCAGGTGGGTTAGTAGAGTCCAGACTCCTCGGGAGGGTTTGTGCAGTTGAGATTTGATGATAATTCACACCTGTTTTCTGCTCTGCAGATCACACAGCTGGAAACAAGGAGGGATTAGTCACCATTGTTTTGTCAGGTATTATTGCGCTTCTTGTTGTTGTTATTTTTTGTATTTGTAGAAATGGTAAAAAAACACAAGGGCATTATTCATATGAACTTCCTGCTGAAAAGACAGGTGATCTTGTAACCCAATAATATATATGTCCTCTGTAGCAGCCGTTTGGATTCTGCAAAGTAATCATGCTCAGACACTAATCACAAAAATAATAATAATAATAATAATCTTTATTTGTAGAGCACTTTTCAAAAACAAGTTACAAAGTGCTTTAACAACTGTAAAGACAATAATACAAAAACAATACAAGATAAAAGCATGAAAATATTGAAAAGACTAAAATACAGATAAATATAAAATTAGTAAAATACAATAATATAAAAGGGATAAAATAAAGTCAAATAAGATCAGGAAATGCTCTCCTATAAAAGTATGTTTTAAGAAGGGACTTAAAAGAGTTCACTGACTCAGCCGACCTGATTTCCTCGGGCAGGCTGTTCCAGAGCCTCGGGGCCCTGACAGCAAACGCTCTGTCCCCTTTAGTTTTCAGTCGAGACTCTGGAACAGACAACAGACCTCTGCCCGAGGATCTCAAGGTACGTGCTGGTGCGTATGGGACTAAAAGGTCAGAAATATAACAAGGCGAGAGGCCATGAAGAGCTTTAAAAGTGATCAATAGAATTTTAAAGTCAAGTCTAAAACATACTGGGAGCCAGTGTAATGAAGCTAAAATAGGAGTAATGTGATCATATTTCTTTGTTCTGGTTAAAAGCCTGGCAGCTGAGTTCTGGACAGTCTGGAGTCGATCAATAGATTTTTGGGTTAAACAGGTGAAAAGGCTGTTGCAATAATCCAGGTGTGATGAGATGAAGGCGTGTAAAATGGTCTCTGTGTCTTTAAAAGTTAACATAGATCGAATTTTTGCTATATTTCTAAGTTGATAAAAACATGAACAGGCTTTGTGGTGTGCTGCTCGAAATTTAAATTACTATCAAACCAAACACCAAGGTTCTTTGCCACAGGCTTAATGTGATTTACTAGGGAACCAGCAGATGGCAGTATTTGATTTGCCATCTGCTGAGACCCGATGACCAGGATTTCTGTGTGTGTGTATGTGTATGTGTATATATATATATATATATATATATATAAATTTTGCATAAACATGTTATCTACTGTGTGTGCTGAAATGTCTGAGACCTTCCACATTTAGGTGAAACTGAATTTCCTTCTTTAAATGTGTATAATGAATATTTTTATAATAACAGAGTATAAAGTGTGTTTGTGTCTCTGGTAGTCAATTATTAATTGAGTCTGCGGTTTCAAATTGTTTTTTTTCCCACCATTTGAATTAAATTAAAATTATCTGCAGAATGACTGAGCACTTGCGCTTTTTAGCTTTTTTTTTTCTAGTTTACAATTTCTGTTACTCAGTTTAAAAACTTTTATTGTAAGTTGCTTTGGACAAATAAATGTGATGTTTATTGTGTATTATTATATAAGAACAATATCAATAAATACAATAAAATAATGAACAATGTGACATTCAACTGGTAATTATGTTGATTAGAATGATTATCTTGTATCAGATGTGTCCAGTCTTTGTATTTGTCACTCTGATTTCTTTCTGTATGTTGCAGGTTAGCAGAAGGTTTAGAAAACACACAATCGATGCTTCATAAAAACCATGTTAAAATTTGAATCCTCCAGTTTTAGAGGCAAATCCAGGGAGGGTTGTTGGCATTCATTGCATAAACGTGCATAAATTTGTAGCCTAATTATCTTCAGTGTTCAAATCTTTATTATGCATTTTATGGGCTCTTCTTTTATGTATAATATGATGAAGATACAACTGCACATATGGTCCATTGTAATACGAAAAAGGAGCCAGCGGCGAGGGGTATACTGTGATTTTTCCCTCCCAGCCTCATACTCCCCCGTCCCACCGTGACGTCCCATAAGCGCCACTACCGTCAATAATAGTATGCATGTACATGAAATAGAGAGCATTCTGAAGGACTGCTTAGGCTACAACGCGAAGACTTGAACAACCAATGACAGTTACAGGTGGGAACTTTGTGTTCAAACCTGGTGGGGAGATTTTAGGGCTCAGGTTTGTGACAAAACACTTAGCATATGAGATGTGACAATCCAGACTAGAAGATATTTTAATAGTATTTAAAAATAAATAAATAAATTCATTGATGAGTACACGATTGGGGGTCTGATTTTTAGCATTAAACATTTAATTTCCTGCATTCTGGAGACATTTTCTGCACCAATAATGGTGGAAATGTCTGTTTAGTATTAATCACCATCTAATTCAGCTACATTTAGCCTTAGATGTTATATCAATCTGGTTTTATCATCTGGCAATTTTCAATGCACATTTCAGAGTGCAAGTTGCTACTATTATTAACAATAATGGAAAACTGAGTTGCAGTAATAACAATGAACATAGGCCTATGTGCAGTTCTATCACCAAAACTCATTCATTACAGAATATTAGCACTGAGGACACCAAAAGCTGTCCACCTCCTCTCAGGCTCACTTATCTTCCAAAAAAACATTGTCAAACGTAGTTTATGTACTGTATCAGCTTAAATGCATGAGCAAGCATCCACTGCTACTACTGTGTACACACACACACACACACACACACACACACACACCTGCTGCAGCTGCAGTGTCACGCGGAGCAGCTTCAGCTGCAGGTTTACGAAAACACTGAAAGAGTGTCTTAGTCTTAGCCTAGTGCCCCCGGCTTCCTTGTGTCAGTCTCCTCGGTTGCCCGTGTTTCCCTCAACCCCGTTTCCCCTTCAATAAAACCTGTTCACCCTGAGTGTTGCGTTTGGGTCCACTCTGTCCCCACACCACAACAAAAACCTCTTAAAACCAGGTTTTATTTAGGCCTAGGCTACATTCAGTGCTGTGAATGAACACAGAACTCTATTGTAGAGATAAAAGCGCAACTAAATGTATTTAATGGCAAATTAAATAAAGTAGATACCCACTAACTTGTGGTAAAATGAAATATGTGGAGTTGACACTGCAGCTCTGTGCACGAAGTCCACGATGATGCTGATGTGCTGCCACCTGCTGGTTGCTTCTACTCACTGCAGACAGACTGCAAGGTGCAGGGGGGGTTATAACTGAATTAAAATGAAGGGGAAAAAGCCAGGAGAAACATATTTGACAGCAGAATACCTGAGAGCTTTACAGCACTATATTACACTATATTTATTTTTTGAATTGTAACCTGAATTTTGTCCTTTTATATAAATAAAGACATTTCCTCAATGAATTGGTGCAGAAAAATTCACCAGAATGCAAGAAGTGAAGTGTTTAAAGCCCAAATTTGTCTGGGGGAGGACCCCCACTCTCCAATCTTTTTAATTATCTGTAGCAATTATAAAAATCATAATAAATGTATTTAAGGGCCTATGATATTTAATAATTAATATTAAGTGTTTAATGTTTAAAATCTTCTGGGGAGTACCCCCAAGCCCCCCTATCAACTATTTCGTCAGTACATTTTTTCCCCAAATACTAAGCCTATTAAAATATATTGTTGTCTTGTTGTCATGGCCCCACCATTTGTGCAGTGTCAAGTCTCACGGGCTAAGAGGTTTGTCAAACCCCTAATCTAAGCCCTTACAAGCAAGGACAGTGTATTGGTGAGGGATGTCCGACCGATTTTGGTGGGCGGTCTGGGCCAGATTTGTTGTCCCAGTCCAGCCCTGCTGGATGGATTCTGATATATTAACAGTGTCCTGTTGTTGAAAAGAGAATCACTTTCTTTTGATAGACATTAGCCTGTTTCTTTCACATCAGTTAGGTTACTATTTGTTTTAGCGATGTCCAACAGTGAGTCCATAAACAGAATGTTGCAGATGCAACTAATCTTTCACTCAGCAGCTACCAGCTGTTATTTAATCAATTATGAGATGCAAAGAGAGAGAGAGAGAGAGAATATGTGTGGATAAAACAGTCCTGTTGGGTTTTACAGAGGACTCACAGTTTCCTCGTTAGCCATTTGTTTTCCCCTGTCCTTGACCTTAAAACCCTGTGTCCTGAGGTGTGTATGTATCACTGCTACCTGTCCATAGACAAATTGAAAGTAGTCAAAATTGTCACACAGAGACGAGCATCCTGCAGTATTTTAAGAGGAAGAAGACAGAGGTCACAAGAGTAGTAGTAGAAAAAACTAGGGAGGATGAGCTTGTAAGTTGTATGGATATCTACTAGACATACTGTATAATCTAATAGGTGTAACATTATAACTGAATACATTTGTACTGTGGCAGCTACATTAACTAGCAGCTGTTCCATGGTTTTTATGGCATGTAGTCGGTTTTGGTTTTCATAATCTCTCCTCTCCCGTCTATTCTCCATCTTCTGTCACTTCTCACTGGATGCTTTCCTTCTGCCTTCTGATTGGCTGACCGTAACCTGACCAACCCCCCGGAAGCTCCACCCCTGTGCTAACAACAACTCCAGCAGATCAGCTGTGCTCTCAAGATTCAGGTTCAGTCAGCTAAAATGTTGCTCGTGGTTTTCTTGTGTTCCCTGATTGTCTCTCTGCTCGCTGCATCTGAAGGTGAGCTGTGTTTTGTCTTTGAGTGTGTGTGTAGTTTGCAGTGACACACACTAAATACGTGCATACATTTATTAAATGAGGTTAATGAAATGTACTAACAAATATAACGTCATGTTGAGGTTTATGCGCGATATTGTTGATACTTAAAACCTGCAGCTGCGCCACACTGCTGATTTTTTTGCTGTTACTATTTTTAGTCCTATCACTGTTAGTAAAAGTGCTATATTCACATTATGTAAAAAAGTCATATTTTTTATCCATTTATATGTAGATCAACTGAAAAGATGAACAGACACAAGATTTCTAGTCTTAAACTGGATTTACACCATCAACCAGATAAAAACAGCCACAGTACAAAATTCAGATTCATTCAGCACCGAAGCCTTCATCACTTTTCTGTCTGCATTAGGGTTGGGAGTTGTTTATAGAAATTTCAGTATTGTGACAACACTAACTGCTACCCAGCTGGTCAGCTCATCTCTTGGTCTATCTGTGATTCGGTTGCTTTCCAGACTTTTTGCCTGAACAATGTGAGTGAAATTCAACTGTTTTATTATGTTTGATAAACACAGACGGTTTATAAACTGCAGCTCAGAAAAGATAACCGTGAGCATGCGGAATATGTGCAGTGGATTCACATTAAATATTGAATATTAAAATGTTGATTAGCTTGACAGACTGGGCAATATGGATCTCTAAATAATAAACATCACATACTCAGTCAGGTCATAGTATAAATAGTATTTTCAATGTATTGAAGTAAACATGCGGAGTTTGAATGGGCCTGATGCACCGAATAACATTTACACCTAGAAAGTTTTGTTATCTATGATTTACAGGGGCATAAGTTTGTCAGTAGAGTGGATGCTGGATCATCAGCCAGTACCAGCACAGATCCAGTGCAGACATCTTTAGCAGGTTAGACACACCCAGGTGAAATAAATGCAGCCTCAGCCAGAACGAGCACAGCCAGAGGTCTACAGGCAGCATCTGATACAAGCAGCTCAGACCCTAAATGAACAGTTGCTGCTCCACCAAATGACCCAGCAGATTGGACCCCACTCAAAACAGACTTTATGAAGACTGAGTTACTGGACCTTTCTAGAAGAGGTTTCTATTCAGGCTTATTACAGAGACAGACTGTTTTAAAGGAGGGAGGATTGTAGTGAGAGCACTGTCAGGTGTGACTGTGCTGCAATGGAAAATGAACATCATCTCCGCTGTCACAGCAGATCATGGGATGTTAAAATGAGTTTATGAGAACAAACTTTATGTCCAAACAAATCTTCAACATCTCCTTCCTGTTGAGCTGCTTGAATCTATATAACAACTACTTTTGCTTTCTAACTAATTCTGGATTTGTTTTTAGATCACCAAGAGATAAAAGTGAAGCCTGGACAGGACGTCCCTCTTCAGTGTCGGGCTCTCAGAAATGCCTCTGTCAAACTTTCAGAGTGGACCAGACCTGACCTGAAGTCAGACGGTTACGTGTTCTTTTACCGAAACGAGCGGCCGTATGAAAACTTCCAGCATGAATCTTTTCATGGTCGAGTGGAGCTGAGAGATCCAGAGATGAAGGACGGAGACGCTTCTGTTGTCCTGAAGAACGTCACCTTCAACGACACTGGAACATACGAGTGTCGGATTGTAACTAACGCACGACAAGAGATCAAGCACCTGATCGACCTGAAAGTTACAGACTCAGGTGGGTTAGTAGAGTCCAGACTCCTCAGGTGGGTTAGTAGAGTCCAGACTCCTCAGGTGGGTTAGTAGAGTCCAGACTCCTCAGGTGGGTTAGTAGAGTCCAGACTCCTCAGGTGGGTTAGTAGAGTCCAGACTCCTCGGGTGGGTTAGTAGAGTCCAGACTCCTCGGGTGGGTTAGTAGAGTCCCGACTCCTCAGGTGGGTTAGTAGAGTCCCGACTCCTCAGGTGGGTTAGTAGAGTCCCGACTCCTCAGGTGGGTTTGTGCAGTTCAGATTTGCTGATAGGTCAAACCTGTTTTTCTGCTCTGCAGATCACACAGCTGGAGACAAGGAGGGAGGAAACAAGGATGAATTTCGTAGCATCGTAGTTGGACTGTCAGTTTTTGGTATGCTGCTTGTTGTTTTTGTTGTTGTTAGTATTTGTAGAAAATGTAAGCAGTCATCAGAGCATTGTTCATACAAACCTCCTCCTTATAATGACGTGACCCAGTGAGCTGAAAAGTTAGTAATTATTGAAAAACTCAGCGTTTCCGGTGAGTCTCAAAAACTCAAAATTCAATCAAAATTTTAGGTCTTAAAAAGTCTTAAATTCGCTGAAGTATTGTATTCTAGGTCTTAAAACTGGTCTTAATATTCCACTGTCCATGACCTATATCCTCTAATGCTCATTGACACACTCCCAGCGCTTCAGAATGTTTCTCCCCCCTTGGCGTTGTAGTTCTTTCTATTCGCTAAAATTTCAGACGATAGTTAATGATTTTCAGCACAGTAACACACTCAACATATTGCTAGCTTCCTCTTCTTATTCTTCAAAGGACACAACAGGTGCTGCTACAGTGAATAGTGAGTGGGATATAGGATATAATATAGGATTGGAAAAGCAATTTAATGGTTCTTCTTTAAGTTGTCAGGTAACTGCTCTGTTTGTACACATACTCTACATCTTGATCGTTAGATTAAATTGGTGAGGATAGTAAAGCAAATTAGGGATGCAAACTTGTCCTTATAAGCTAACGAGGAGATGATTCTTTTGGATTTTAATGAACAAATGAAGGCAAACGTGAACAATTTTATCTGTAATGATTCTGAGGTTTAATGTTTAGGTGGTGAGGCTCAAAATGAGCACCAAGCTGTTTTGAGCCTCACCTCCAAAACCATGAATGTAAAATCAATGTCAAGAGCATCAAAACTAACCAAATTACTTTTCCCAGATCTAATACTAATTCCTCCCGAATAGACTTCTTTAGTAAGTTTAGCTTTTGGGGTGGAGTTTATTCAAAATCTGCTCTAGATTTTCCAACTTATTGTTCATTGTTGTGGTAATAACAATGTTCTAAAATTATGTGGGATTGCATATTTCTTTATTGGAAAACCAAAACAAATCTTGGGGCAGTACTCCCAAAACCCCCACCGAAATTTGTTTGCTTACATACATGTTGTATTGGTGTTATATATCCAGCAAGTTTTTCTCTTCAGACCCAATAACACTGTTACCTGACACACACACATCGTGGTTGGCACTACTGGACAGTGTTGTGTAACTCGTCCATTATTTTTAATGCAAATTTCTAACTTCACCATGGTCCAAAGTGCACCAAAAAGTGCTCATAAAGAAATGAAGATATTTTTGTGCAAAATGCTGGAAAGCCTCAGACATTTCAGTATACTGTGTACCGTAAATAACACATTTATGCCAAATTATTTCTTTGATTAGTATCTGAGCATGATGATTTTAGGGAATACAAACAGCACCTTCAGAGTAGAACGTGTTTTTATCTGCTCTGTAAAGCTCATGGAGCTCATTAATAGCAGAGAGGAAACCTTTGAGTAATGTTGAGTAACCTAACTACAATAATTTGTAGTTATTGTTCACATTGTATATATTGTTTATACTATATCATATCAAACTGCCTCATGTACATAATAACAGCTGCACAAACATGTTTATTTCAGCATCTGTTGCACTCTGCTCCATTACTACATTACTCATCTACATTACACTATTGTCTTGTTATTGTTTATGGTGTGTATGTGCGTTCTATACGGTGTAGTTTGAATGTGTTTTTTGTTGAGCTAATCTTTGTTTCTGCTTGTTCAGTGTTTGTACATTGAGAGCATGTACCTGATCATTAAAGCTGATTCTCATTCGGAAATATTCTCAGGCTCAAAGCTTTATTATCAAGGTAAAACAAATGACATTCATCAGTATCTGTTAAATTCACCTACAGAGATGGTTTGAACCCACGAACACTGTGTCAAAGCCCTGATCATCAAAGTAAACACTTAATAAATTGGGCATTAACACATTAGCTGACGTGCATTTACTGATTGTCAGCTTTGTTGCATTACATCGTCTTCACCAGCAGATGGTGGTGTGTTTTTTCTGAGTACTGAACTATTTTCATCACAGTTGTGTGTACATAACATTGCATTTATTCATTTGACAGACGCTTTTATCCAAAGAGGAAAAAGGTTGTATTGTTTAATAAAAAATGCTCTTTTCTGATAGATATAACAACATATTTATAGCAATATTTGGCCGTAAACAGTACGCGATAAAGAAATATGGCCTCTTCTTAGAAAAACAAGTTCAGTTCAAGGTCAGCAGTTATAACAATAATCTTTGGATATCTACACAGTCAGAGGAACTTCTCTTATAACAGTCACACTTTTTCTGGTAGTTTCAGGAACCCGAGCTCCTCAAGATAAAGACAGGTTGCCCAGCAGCTGCTGTAGGACTCAATGAGAGTTACAAGACATGAAATATGGTTTAAAACAAACAGTGAGTCTGATACATTGTAAGAATAGTCGTTTCTGGTCTTCCAGCAGGACCTAACATGCCACCAAAGCTGTGAGTACAAGGCTCACAGACAACAGCATAAGAGTCTTGGAGTGGCTGACTTCTATCAGAAGGAATGGGCTAAAATATCAACAAAGAACCTTGAGGAAGGAGAAAAACCTCTGACCCACCAGAAATCTGTTCTTCTAGGCCTTCACGGACCCGTCTTTGGCGTGATCATTGACATACAGACACGTGCAGAGGGGGGTGCAATGGGTGCTTGAGCACCTGCCCTTTTTTCAAACGCAATCCTTAATTTTATTTATTTTAAAATTTGTAAAGGTCCTTTTGTGAAGGCCTGCACGATCAAAATATCAGTAAAATGAATTAATAATAATTTTGCAGTTAATAAAATGACCCAATTGATGACCTTTCACCTGATGACCTAATCCGTGACGAGCCCTCCCGTTCAGACACCGTGGCCCAATCCCAATGTCCACCTCTCCTTAGAGCTTAGGACTCTCTCGTGGACATTTTGTGCCATTTTTAGACCCTTTTCGTAAGTCTGCATTTTTGGAGGACTTAAAAATAAGGCAAAAACATAAAATAAAAGTGCACAACGTCGTCAAGGTAACGTGATAAAGTGGCAAAGTTCTGTCCCGTTCCTGTTTACAGCATTTTGAGCCCTTACAGCCTCTTTGACTCAATCACTTTCCAAGTGATGTCAGTAAAGTCTGTGAGGGTTCAGGGCTCAGGGGGGACACTGGGATTGGGCCCGTTAGTGATTCAGCAGCTCTGCCTACAGGACACCTGCGATTCCGCCGGTAAGAGGAGTTTGCCGCTTCTTGTGGATTGTTGCAAAGTGAGCAGCACAGCTGTTGTGTATATTGCTGTGTGTCGCCCGCCTGTAGAAGTGATATCAGCTTCCGGCCGACAGCTAACGTTACTTCTACGCTACAAACAAAGGTGCTCTGTTCACTTCTGTGTGTTTGGGGGAGAAAAGTTTCACGGGCGTCGAGAGGTCTGATCTTTTCTATGTAATCTGACTAAAAATCTTTGCACTTGAACTAGGATTATTAAAGTATCTTAATAAAAGCCTTGTGCCTTAAAATAAGTGTAACAACACTGGTAAAATTCTAAGCCTATTCCTCCGACTTATAGCCTCCTTCAGCCCTTTAAAAACTATATCATTAAATTCAGAACAGTATTGAATATATTTACATTTTGACAGCAACAGGATTTACAGCAGCTCATCTATAATCACAGCAAAAGCTGGAGTGTTAAAATTTCAGGGTTAAACATTTCCGAGTTGATTTTAACTCCCAAAGTGTAATTTTAACAAATTCGGAATTAAATGATGTTTAATATTGGGGTTCTTTTACAGTGTTGATTTCCTCAGTGTTAGCCAACCCTCCCTGGTGTTAGCCCAACTCTGCAGAGATGTAATTAAGCTCCGCCCACGAAAGCCACGCATTTCAAGATTTAAACCGCCAATGAAGACGAAGGAGATACATATATCACTTTTTCCTCCTTCAGGAAGCTCTTCAAGGTAAGTCCAATTAAATCAGACTAACTACAACAATTGTAAATTGATGTTGTGAACTGTGACATCTACAGACAATATATGCTTTATAAAACGTTGTTTGTTGCCAAGACGGAACAGTAAAATTGTCCAGGTGACGTTAATTAGCACGCCCAAACAGCTAGCTAACGTTAGCTAGCTAACGTTAGCTAGTAAGTACTAAAACCTTCTCCCGCTTTATCAGCGAATTAACAACAATTAACGGCTCAAAGTCATGAAAAACAACAATTTATGTTGTTTACTAGTGCTGACGGTTAAATGGTATTTTCATGTGTTACTTAGGGATGGGCACTGAAACGCGCTTTTTACAGGCACGGGGCAAAATACCGTAGTGTTAACGTTATCAGGCTGCAGCCTCTGCCCACTCTGTGTCGGCCTGCTGTCGGCGCCCACACTCTCTCGCGCGCGCAAATACACACACACACACACACACACACACACACACACACACACACACACACACACACACAATAAGCGCGCAACAGTGACCTGCAGATCAGAAGATAAAAGAATGTATCTGCGCTCTTTCTAGTCTGTGTGTGTGATCTGGACTTCTACTGTTCCTACTTTAAATATTACTTCGTCAAACTTTATTGCATTGCTCAGGAAAAATGCTAGTCCAGGTGAAGTACAAACAACAGCAGAAGTATGTGAAGTTGGACGAGGTTGATGGACGGTTTGACTTTCTTCAGTTCCACGAAAAAGGTTTTCTTTTACTTTACTTTTTTAAAACTCATTCTGCCTGTTCATTGGTTATAGATTTCTTTTCATGTTTTTGGCAGACACTAAAATGGAGTCGCTTGCTCAACATTTTTAGTTAAATATCCACCATCAGTCAATAAACATGGGGAAAAAATCATTAACTTTAAAATTTGGACTTAATAGGGAACGGGTTTTGTCAGGGGGAAAGCACATTCATTTTTATCTTACTCTCCTTTACAGTCATCGAAAGATTTTGCCTACCACCTGATGCAGAGGTTACATACAAAGATGCCACTGGTACAGAAGTTGATGGAGAAATATTCAGCGACCTCGTTGGACAAGGAAATGTGGTGCTGACAGTTTTCTCAAATGACGGTGAGTTACAGAGAAGTTATAATCAAGTACTCTACATACGACAAACATTTTAATTTAACATATTTTTTATTCCTTTAGAATTTTCTGATTGGTCCTTGTCGTCTTCTTCTGAGACATCTGACTCAAGCTCCAGCTCATCAACTATAATCATAGATGAGGTCCCTGGCAAGAAACAAAGACTTGATGATACATGTGATGCAGAGTCTGCCAAACAGGTTAAAAAAAACTTTATTCACATGACTCTTTAACATCTGACATTCATCTGAGGCTCTAAAAAAAGCTGTTTATCACCATGTTTGGCATTCTCATGGTTTTGTTTTTTATTAGATTCCTGGATACAAAAGGATTGGTAAGTTTGAAAATAAATGTTTAGATGGCTTGAAATTGGAAAATATTTAGTAGTAGTTTAATAATGTTGTTCTTAAAGGTGGAACAAGACTTCACTCTCCTATTTGGTGACGAGACATCCTCCAGGCTGCTTCAGAAATGGGATGTGTTCTTCAAGCCAAATATCATACAAGAAGCTAAACAGCTCACTTCAACTCCGGAGTTGCGTCGCTTGATACAATCGGCGGAAAGTTCCTCAGGAAGTGATGAAGAAACAAGTGAGTTGGATTTGTTTTTCTTAGGAATATATAAAAGTGTTGACTTTTTCTTAAATTTCATTTATTTATTCTGTAATTCTCTGTTCAGTCTTGTGCCTCTTTGTCCTCAGCCTAGAGACTTGTTGTCTTTCACAAGGTAATTATATTATTACGGTAACAATATTAATCTGTCATGTCATTTTCCAGGACTCTTGTAAACTCTTGTTTCTAAATGGGACGATCCTGTTAAAACAAAGGTTAAATAAAAACTTTCTTCGGCACGTAAAATTAGATTGTTAAAGTGTATGGATTAGAAATTAAGTCTTAAAGGTCTTGTGTGTACATTTAGAAGGATCTTATGTGCAGAAAGAAATATGATGTGAATAACTGATTTTATTAGTGTATAATCTGCTAAAAAATCAGATTTTGTTACCTTAGCATGAGTCTATGTAAAGAAGCCTCCACACTGCCTTCCACACTAATAATCACTTCTGTAATAATATTAATCAATATATATAATGTCTTTGTTGTGGTTGCACATTATTCTTGAGTCTAATGTTCAGCTTCCTTATCTTATCCCTAGTCATGCTGCAGTTTGGAGGAGCATCTTCGCAACCAGCAGGGTCGGCAGCCATACCTCCTTGCCGTTGGTCGTCAGAAGAACAAGATTGACAGCTTCTATATCGCCATGGATAAGCATCTCATCCCATGCCAGGCAAACCGTTCCCTTGGGGCATTTGATGAACTTTTTAAAGTGCATTTTGTGTTTAACTTGTCTTATGATGGAGCACTGGTGAACTTCTACACATTTCTGCAGACAACAGTATACAACATTGATGTGGGGAAAAATGAAGGAGTCACCCAGAGTTCGAGACTTGAGAGCCCGACTGCTTAACCAGCCCGTACCGCTCACATTCTGTGAGTAAAAGGCTAAAACAATGCTGACCTGTTTCATGTGTCAGAAACTATATCCCAGCAGTCAGCAGTTGATTTCACATTTAAGAGTTCAACATGGTTACTATCCTGGACCAAAGTCCAAATTGTTTTGTGCTCAGCACGGCTGTAGGCATCAGTTCCTAACATATGCAGGTTTTCGGAAACACCTCAATAGTGTTCATAGCAATGTTCAGCAAATTGCTCAAACTTCAACTGCTGCGTGTTCCTCTTGTGAGCCAGTTGCAACTTCATCTCAGGCACATGCTTTGGAAGACCAGTTTAGTCCCCCAAATCAATGTAGCTCTTCCAGTGTTTCTTCTCAGAGAAATTATTCTGGACTTAAAGATCCAACCAAAGAAATGTGTGCATCTATTGTGGCCAAATTACAGGGGAGTGGGATTTCCAACAGTTTGGTATCCTCAAGTGTAGGAGATTTGGAGGAACTAACAAGTGAGATCCGCTCACAAGCACAGCACACTGCTATTTCTGCTTTACCTGTTACTGACCCAAACATACCTGTTATTAATGAAGCTTTTGAACATTTTGAAAACCCGTTCACAAATCTGAATACAGAATGGAAAAGAAACAAATACTTCAATCTAAAATGGGGAGTTGTCGAGCCAGCAGAAATAACACTAGGTGTGAGATATGACAACAGACGAAATCAGAAATCCGGTTCTTATGATCAAGTACCTGTGAAGGATACTTTTATTTATGTGCCGATTTTTGAAACACTGAAGTTTATGTGCAGAAATCCAGACATTTGTGTTCTCCTGAAGAAAGATTGTAGAACAGAGCCAGACATTTACAGTGACTTTTTTGATGGCAGTTATTTTAAAACACATCCTTTGTTTGCAGCAAAAAGACATGCATTACAAATTCAAATATATTATGATGAGTTTGAAACAGCCAATCCCCTTGGCTCCAAACGTGGAATTCACAAAATTGGCTGTCTTTATTTTATTGTAAGAAACTTACCCCCCAAATTTAATTCAGTTCTGATGAACATTCATTTGGTAGCACTTTTTCATACACAAGATCTGCATAAGTATGGTTTTGATGTAATACTGGAACCATTGTTAAATGATGTGAAAAAACTGGAGAGCCAAGGAATAAGTCTTCCATTTTCTGATGAGCAGGTATATGGTACAATCTCACATATCACAGGAGATAATCTAGGAATGCACACAATTCTTGGTTTTAATGAGTCATTTAGTAGTCGTCATTTCTGTCGCCTTTGTTTGATTGAGAAGAATGATTGTCAAACAGTATACAGTGAGGATGATCCTAAGGTGATCCTTCGCGGAAAAGAGATGTTTGAGATGCATTGCCAAACTCTCCAGGAAAACCCACAATTTAAGTCATTCTATGGTTTGAAAAAAATTCTACACTTAATTCATTAAAGTATTTCCATGTATGTAATAACTATTCATTTGATATAATGCATGATCTTCTTGAGGGTGTGGCTCAGTATGAGATCAAATTGCTTTTTGGATATCTCACAGAACACTTTATGACAGAACAGGACTTGCTTTCCAGGATTTAGTTTTGATTATGGATTTTTAGAACGAAAAAACCGTCCCACAAAGATTATTTTGGAGAGTGCTGGTAATGGCATTGGTTTGAATTCTATTCAGACATTGTGTCTTGTTAAAAACATCCCACTGTTGTTTGGTGACATTATTCCTGAAGGAAACAAAAACTGGAATTTGTTGTTATTGTTACTTCAAATAATGAACATAGTTTTATCACCATCTCTCACACAAGGTATGACATATATTTAAAGCATTTGATTGTTGACCACCACAAACTATTTAAGCACTTGTATCCACATAGGAACTTGATACCTAAGCATCATTTTATGATCCATTACCCATCTTCTATAAGGAAAATTGGCCCTTTATTACATATGTGGAGTATGAGGTTTGAAGCTAAACACAAACTGTTTAAAGACTCCTTTAAAAATTTCAAAAACATAACCAAATCCCTTGCTAAAAAGCATCAGATGGCCATTGTTTATCACTGGGAAACCTTTACTCTCAAACAAAATGAGTATGGGCCAATTAAATCGTTTTCCCTTAAGGATGAGAATGTGGTCAACAATGAAATGCTTGAAATTATATTGGCAAAAGATGTTTTCTCAACTAGTTGGGTTAAAGTTGACGGTGTAGAGTATAAAGCTGGACTTGTTGTTTGCAGTGCAGTGGAAGAAGACATGCCTGTCTTTTATCAAATAAGTAACATACTTTTGGTTGAAAATAATTTATTTTTTGACTAACAGACTACTCACAGAAGTTTTTCATGAACACCATCATGCTTTCAGAGTATTTAAAAGTGAGGAAAGGTTTATAATGAAAATGTCTGAGCTTAAATTTTACAAACCGTTTGACATTCAAAGCTCATACAGTCATTCAGAAGAAAATCTGTACATTATACCTTCATTTGTAATGTTTTGAATAAACTGTCACTGCAAATGAAAAGGCAAAAATAAATGTTATCAAACATTATTTGTTTATTGTAATTCATTCTTATAATTTAATTTTAACACATTTAAGTGTAGATTTAACACTTCAGGAAGGCAAACTAACACTACACAAGTAGTAAAAACTTTAACTAAGAGCAGTGTTATTTGTCTAATCTCTAAGTGTTACTTTAACTCTGTGTTGTGAGTTTAAAAAGGAACTCTGGCATAGTGTTAAATGTTTTAACTATTTTGAAAGTGTTAATTTAACTCTGGAGAGTGTGGAGCTATATAAACCCTAAAAAAGTGTTGAAATCAACTCTGTGGGAGTTAATTCAACACTCCAGTTTTTGCTGTGATCAAAACTCAATAACTGATGATTAGACATATAGTCAATAAAAATCCAAATATATCTCAGATTCACAATACAATATATAAAATCATTATCACAATATTGCATACTGTAGACACACAAGCAAGCAACACAGACGCACACAAACCTCTGTCTATAGATTTGTTTTTCACTCTTACCTCTGCCATGGCCGCCCTCATCCTTTCCCCATTAATGTTTCCTTCTCAGATTATTTCCCACACTTTATTAAATCTGGTATCTTTTCTCCTCTACCTGCAGCTCTTGGTGTGCAGCTCTGTGAGCGTCTCTCTAGCTGTCAGCCTTGGTAGTGGCTGCAGTATTACAGCAGGTCAGTCACTGTGAGCTGGTCCCAAACACATGTAAGAATGAATACATAACGATATATTTCTATGTCAATAGTATGAGAAGAGTCCTATTTAAATCCTTGGTCCATGTGCCCTTTTCATACTTTGAGCGCCTGCCCTTCCAAAGGTCTCTGCACGGCCCTGTTGATGTATATCTGTTACAAATAAAGATTTTGCTATAAAAAAAAAAAAGCTAGAGTAGCTCACTGATTGGCTGAGGCAGGAGGTACCTGATCTGCGTGGTCGCCACAAGTCACATGTAGTCTTTCATACAGCGATGTGGAGATCAAGCTGAGCCGAAGGAGCACAAGTGGAGCAAAATGAACAGGTGGAGCAGTGTTTCTTTTATAGCACGAGGTTTCCACCCTGGCCGGATCGGTACTGGATCTGCTCAGTTTCTAAGTCTGATGTAATGACGCACAGAAAGGTCTGGACGTCGCGCTCGAAAACTCCGCTAAGAAGCATTTTTTTCTCCAGAAAGCACGAGTTTCTACCTGAAGGGAAGATGTGTGTGTGTGAGTATAGGCTTTTCTCTTTTAGACCGCAGATACTAGTTTGAAAGGGAAGCAAAAGCTTTAAGAGTTTAAAGCTGTTATTTGTGTAAACACTACGACCAATAGGCCTGCGGAGAAAACCATTCACATTTAACGTGACTTATAAATGTTGTTCGGTGCCTGGATGACTGTGATTCGTCACTTCCCACTGGATGCTTTTGTCCTGCCTTCTGATTGGCTGATCCTAACGCTACCCTCAAGCAATCTAACCAACGAAGGCAACGAGAGTAGCCAATCAGAGCAAGAGAAAAATGATAAAGAACGCTTTAGGCGATAGGCCCACTAGTTGAAGCTCCACCCCTGTGCTAACAACAACTCCAGCAGATCAGCTGTGCTCTCAAGATTCAGGTTCAGTCAGCTAAAATGTTGCTCGTGGTTTTCTTGTGTTCCCTGATTGTCTCTCTGCTCGCTGCATCTGAAGGTGAGCTGTGTTTTGTCTTTGAGTGTGTGTGTAGTTTGCAGTGACACACACTAAATACGTGCATACATTTCTTAACTGAGGTTAATGAAATGTACTAACAAATATAACGTCATGTTGAGGTTTATGCGCGATATTGTTGATACTTAAAACCTGCAGCTGCGCCACACTGCTGATTGTTTTGCTGTTACTATTTTTATTCCTATCACTGTTAGTAAAAGTGCTATATTCACATTATGTAAAAAAGTCATATTTTTTATCCATTTATATGTAGATCAACTGAAAAGATGAACAGACACAAGATTTCTAGTCTTAAACTGGATTTACACCATCAACCAGATAAAAACAGCCACAGTACAAAATTCAGTTTCATTTCATTTACATCACTTTCACCTGCACTGCAGAACCATTAAGTTGAGGGTTTTCCAGGGAAATCTAGCTGGGAAAACCAGTTTCATTAATCCCCTACCCTGATTACAGAAACAAGTTTCTCTATTTCATGACATTTAAGAAATCAGGTCACTGTGGGAAGCCCAGTTACTGGAGTTCATCTGAGTGAGCGATGCGGGTCGCAGTCAGGGTTTTCATACCAAACAGAGGCCGTCCAGTGAGATTTTGTCATGGACCTGGTGTCAGGGGAGGAAAAATATAACATGTATTTACAGTTGACAATGTCGTAAACAATGTTTTCCCTCCACCACAGCCTTTTTCCTAATAACATTCTGTTTAAAAAACAGGTTCAACCTGCTCTCTGAGTCGACTCTAAAACAGAGATGATCTGCAGCTAAAACAGTCAGGGAGTTTAGATCAGTGTGCAGTCTTTATTCAACTTTTGGTATTTAGATTTGTCTTATGCTTGAATATGATGAACATATTATTCACTTCTCTGCCTCGGTCACAGTCCTGAGTCTGTCATCTTGCAGAGGAGGTGGAACCAGCATCTCCTTCAGATTCATTCAGCACCGAAGCCTTCATCACTTTTCTGTCTGCATTAGGGTTGGGAGTTGTTTTTATCGATTCTGATTGTAATTATAGTGACACTTTTATGGACTGCGTTTTGTCAATACCTTGAATACGTACGACGACGAAGAAGAAAAAACGTTAGCAGTAATAGTATTAGGCTAGTAGTCATCTGGTTTATTAGAAGTAAGAAGAGAATTGAAACTTAGAAAAATGGAGGACCACACGTATCATTTAGAGTTTACAGAACTTTTTTACAAACATGTACAATGGTTATAGTGGTTAGTTTGCTGTCTATGTAGAGTGAACTAGCTGTCAGCGTGTTGTTAAAATTCTCTGATAATGTTAATCCAACACATCTTTGTAGTAGCGTCCATGTTGATTCCACATTTCAAAGAGCACATGAACACACACTGAAGTCAGAAGAACGACTTCACAACTCCATAAATGGGACCATCTGAGGAGCACATGAATGCAACCCTCACCACTAGATGTCACTAAAAGTTACACACTGAACCTTTAATCAATCCACTTTTCCAACTTGGTTCGGTCTGACACGGTCGACCACAACATATTACTAGACAGACTTGAAAACTGTGTTGGACTTTCTGGCACAGTACTAAAATGGTTTGAATCCTACTTAAAGGACAGGACTACTTTGTGTCTATAGGTAATCATACATCTGAGCTGACAAAAATGACATGTGGAGTTCCCCAAGGCTCCATTCTGGGACCTCTTTTGTTTAACATTTACCTGCTTCCACTGGCTCAGATTGTGAAAAACAACAAAATATGTTACAATAATTATGCAGATGACACACAGATTTACATAATGATATAACCAGGGGACTATGATCCCATATGGGCGCTGAGTAACTGTATTGAGCAGGTCAACGATTGGATGTGCCAGAATTTAAACAAAGATAAAACTGAAGTTATTGTTTTTGGAGCCAGGGAGGAACGACTTCAATCTGTAATGTTAAGAACCACAAATCAAGCCAGAAATCTTGGTGTAGTCATGGACTCAGACCTGAATCTGAGGAGCCACATTAAGACAATTACAAAGTCAGCCTACGATCACCTGAAGAATATATCAAGGATTAAAGGACTATTGTATTAGTAACTACTGTAACAGTGTCCTTACAGGCTCCCTAAGAAATCCGTCCGACAGCTGCAGCTGATTCAGAACGCAGCTGCTCGAGTCCTCACTAAGACCAAAAAGGTGGATCACATCACTCCAGTTCTGAGGTCTTTACATTGGCTTCCTGTTTGTCAAAGAATTGATTTCAAAATCCTGCTGTTAGTTTATAAAGCACTAAATGGTTTAGGGCCAAAATACATTTCTGATCTTCTGCTTCGTTATGAACCATCCAGACCTCTCAGGTTGTCTGGGATCAGGTCTGTTTTCTGTCCCCAGAGTCAAAACTAAACAAGGAGAAGCAGCGTTCAGTTATTATGCTCCGTATATCTGGAACAAACTCCCAGATAACTGCAGGTCTGCTGAAACTGTCAGTTCTTTTAAATTAAGACTGAAGACTTTTCTTTTTACCACTGCCTTTAATTAAATCCATAGATTGGTAACTTTCACTGCACTGTAACGTCCTGTTTTCTCTGTCTTTGTTTTTAGATTCTCAGTGAACACTATTTACACGGTGAGAAATGAGTAGGTAATTGAGTGAAAAGATAATGAGAGTGAGATTGAACAGAGTGAAGGAAGTGGTCTTAAATCTCGTGCCTGAGTGATTTGCAGGAACCTCTGTCCACCTGTAAACGTGCAGGTGGGTCCAGAGTATAACTGGATCAAAGTGGCCTGCTGACAGACATGTCCTGGTTTCTCTGTAGTGTCCGAGGGTTTTTGGAGTTTCAGTGGACCCAAAGATTGCTATGGACCCGAGTACAGACTAGCTAGAGAGAGTAGATTAAGTGTACTTCTCTGTTTATTCTCTTTTCAAAATAATTGTAACTCAATTATTTGCTCAACCCCTCAGCCTGTTTGTATTTTCCATTTAACTCTTATTAACCCTGATTGTACACTGCACTGTAACTTATTATTTTTTAATGTGTATTTTTTCAATTTTCCTATGTTGCTTTTAAACTTTTTTATATTTCCCTGTTGCTTTTATGTTTTATGTAAAGCACTTTGAATTACCTTGTTGTTGAAATGTGCTAATCAAATAAACTTGCCTTGATGAGACACGGATTAATGCACAGGTGACCCTAGGCTGCAGACTAGGGGCCCCACGTGTGCAAGGATCCTGGATTAGCCAGGATATTTTTATTAATTTAATTTTAATTAATTTTTTAGAAATTGCTCATATAAAACTTTGAATAATGAGGCTGATTGGGTAGATGTGGGCCACAGCAAGTTTGATCCATTTTTGAAAGCGCATCAATGGCA